ATCCACTAATCGACGACCAACCAACCAACCGACCACAAAACTACGAACCACAAATAACATCACTAACCGACAACCGACCAACCAACGACAACTAATCCACTAATCGACGACCAACCAACCAACCAACGACCACAAAACTACGAACCACAAATAACACCACTAACCGACAACCGACCAACCAACGACAACTAATCCACTAATCGACGACCAACCAACCAACCAACGATCACAAAACTACGAACCACAATTAACACCACTAACCGACAACCGACCAACCAACGACAACTAATCCACTAATCGACGACCAACCAACCAACCAACGACCACACAACTACAAACCACAACTAACACCATTAACCGAACACCGACCAACCAACGACAACTAATCCACTCATCGACGACCAACCAACCAACCAACGACCACAAAACTACGAACCACAACCAACACCACTAACCGACAACCGACCAACCAACGACAACTAATCCACTAATCGACGACCAACCAACCAACCAACGACCACAAAACTACGAACCACAAATAACACCACTAACCGACAACCGACCAACCAACGACAACTAATCCACTAATCGACGACCAACCAACCAACCAACGACCACAAAACTACGAACCACAAATAACACCACTAACCGACAACCGACCAACCAACGACAACTAATCCACTAATCGACGACCAACCAACCAACCAACGACCACAAAACCACGAACCACAATTAACACCACTAACCGACAACCGACCAACCAACGACAACTAATCCACTAATCGACGACCAACCAACCAACCGACCACAAAACTACGAACCACAACTAACACCACTAACCGACAACCGACCAACCAACGACAACTAATCCACTAATCGACGACCAACCAACCAACCGACCACAAAACTACGAACCACAAATAACACCACTAACCGACAACCGACCAACCAACGACAACTAATCCACTAATCGACGACCAACCAACCAACCAACGACCACAAAACTACGAACCACAAATAACACCACTAACCGACAACCGACCAACCAACGACAACTAATCCACTAATCGACGACCAACCAACCAACCAACGACCACAAAACTACGAACCACAAATAACACCACTAACCGACAACCAACCAACCAACGACAACTAATCCACTAATCGATGACCAACCAACCAACCAACGACCACAAAACTACGAACCACAATTAACACCACTAACCGACAACCGACCAACCAACGACAACTAATCCACTAATCGACGACCAACCAACCAACCGACCACAAAACTACGAACCACAACTAACACCACTAACCGACAACCGACCAACCAACGACAACTAATCCACTAATCGACGACCAACCAACCAACCAACGACCACAAAACTACGAACCACAACTAACACCACTAATCGACAACCGACCAACCAACGACAACTAATCCACTAATCGACGACCAACCAACCAACCGACCACAAAACTACGAACCACAAATAACACCACTAACCGACAACCGACCAACCAACGACAACTAATCCACTAATCGACGACCAACCAACCAACCGACCACAAAACTACGAACCACAAATAACACCACTAACCGACAACCGACCAACCAACGACAACTAATCCACTAATTGACGACCAACCAACCAACCAACGACCACAAAACTACGAACCACAACTAACACCACTAACCGACAACCGACCAACCAACGACAACTAATCCACTAATCGACGACCAACCAACCAAACGACCACAAAACTACTAACCACAAATAACACCACTAACCGACAACCGACCAACCAACGACAACTAATCCACTAATCGACGACCAAGCAACCAACCAACGATCACAAAACTACGAACCACAACTAACACCACTAACCGACAACCGACCAACCAAGGACAACTAATCCACTAATCGACGACCAACCAACCAACCAACGACCACAAAACTACGAACCACAACTAACACCACTAACCGACAACCGACCAACCAACGACAACTAATCCACTAATCGACGACCAACCAACCAACCGACCACAAAACTACGAACCACAAATAACACCACTAACCGACAACCGACCAACCAACGACAACTAATCCACTAATTGACGACCAACCAACCAACCAACGACCACAAAACTACGAACCACAACTAACACCACTAACCGACAACCGACCAACCAACGACAACTAATCCACTAATCGACGACCAACCAACCAACCAACGACCACAAAACTACGAACCACAACTAACACCACTAACCGACAACCGACCAACCAACGACAACTAATCCACTAATTGACGACCAACCAACCAACCAACGACCACAAAACTACGAACCACAACTAACACCACTAACCGACAACCGACCAACCAACGACAACTAATCCACTAATCGACGACCAACCAACCAACCGACCACAAAACTACGAACCACAAATAACACCACTAACCGACAACCGACCAACCAACGACAACTAATCCACTAATCGACGACCAAGCAACCAACCAACGATCACAAAACTACGAACCACAACTAACACCACTAACCGACAACCGACCAACCAACGACAACTAATCCACTAATCGACGACCAACCAACCAACCAACGACCACAAAACTACGAACCACAACTAACACCACTAACCGACAACCGACCAACCAACGACAACTAATCCACTAATCGACAACCAAGCAACCAACCAACGATCACAAAACTACGAACCACAACTAACACCACTAACCGACAACCGACCAACCAACGACAACTAATTCACTAATCGACGACCAACCAACCAACGACCACAAAACTACGAACCACAACTAACACCACTAACCGACAACTGACCAACGAACGACAACTTACCCATTAACAACCAACCAACCAACGACCACCAACCAACTAACCACAGATAGCACCAGTAACCGACAACCGACTAATTAACGACAACTCAATCACCAAACGTAACCATCCAAGGTCTACAAACTAACATACGACAATTAACACCATTAAACGACAAACAACAAACAGTCAGTTGATTAGGTAAGAACAAGAACGCGTTGAAACCAGCATCAGAAACCAACCGGCAGCCTGCTAGAACCTGGATCTAACCCGGATGCCGGGAACCCATCAAGAATTCTACAATCCAACAAGAACCCTCCAACCCAATTCTACAATACAAGATCTCTGCAACCCTTAAACAAACCCAACATGAAGATGCAACTCAACATGATTTTTGTGAATCAACAAGAACACTGCGACACAACAGGCAGAAAGATGAAACGCTCTGAAATTATTGGTGAGTGCTTGATGCTTAATGCTCAGTTTTCACAGTTTAGATTTCAGTAATAATAAACAAAAATAATGTTCAAAGTTTTAATAGAAGCAATGCATTTTTGTTAAATAGTAATAAATCAGATTTGGAAGTATTGTATTCTAATTATATGATATATAAAGAGACTAAGTAAACTAATACACACCGTTTTTCAGACAGCCCACAAGCCCAACACCAAGAAGGAGCCAGCATACTCTCAGTCAATGTAATATCTGCCAGCCTTCAAGTCAACAAGAAAATGGACGTCAACCTATTATATGTCAAAATATTATCAGCCCAAAGCCCTTAACAAAAAAGAGACTATCCTACTTTCCATCAACATATTACTTGCTAGCTCACGACACAAATGAAGCCAGCTTTTTATCATCAACCTTTCACCAGCATTCTCACAATCAAGAAGTCAGCCTTATACCCGTCAAAAAACCAGCTACTATCTAATTAGCTGCAAGCTAATTAGCCAAGAGATTTCCAGTTGCTAACCCACCAGCCTGCAAGCATACCGCACGACCGAGAATCAGCAGTTATCCGCAAGTCACTCGCCCAACCAGTAATGAATCTGAAAACATCCACAACCCGACAGCACTTCAGTACCTAGTCTCATTGACAATACTAACTAGCAAATAGTACAAGCAGAAGAAAGCCAACCAGCCAAAAACAAACAGCAACATACCCATAAATGGAAATACCAATAACGACTACAAACCCAATACCATACAAGCAACCATCTGCTAGCACATCAGCTAACAACTAGACATAAGTCCGCAAAGAAGCAGACAAGTAACCAGCCTACTAGTTGACCAGCAACCTGACCTCTAGCCATCAACCAAAGAGCATTCAAAACCAATAGACCAGAGCTTACACGAATCAAGCCTAGAATTCTGCATCCAAATAAGAATCATGCAACCACCATGAATCTTGCAACCAACCATGAATCATGCAACCGACATGAATCTTTCAACCCATCAAGAATTTTGCAACCCAACAAAAAGCTGCAACCCAATAAAAAGATGCAATCCATCAAGAATCCTGTCACTTATCAAAAATTCTACAACCCATCAAAATTCTGCAACCGAACAAGAATCCTACAAACCATCAAGAATTCTTCCACCAATCAAAAATCCTGCAACTCAAAAAGAATCCTGCAACCTATCAAGAAACCTGCCACCCATCAAGAAACCTGCCACCCATCAAGAATCCTGCAAACCATCAAGAATCCTGCAACCCAAAAATATTTCTGCAACCCAACAAGGATCCTACCAAAAAAACAAGAATTGTGCAAATCAACAAGAATTCTACAACCCATCAAAAATCCTGCAACCGAACAAGAATCCTGCAACCCAAAAAGATTTCAGCAACCCAACAAAGATCCTACAAAAAAAAAAGAATTATGCAAATCAACATGATTTCTACAACCCAACATGATTTCTACAACCCAACATGATTTCTGCAACCCAACATGATTTCTACAACCTAACATGATTTCTACAACCCAACATGATTTCTGCAACCCAATGCAAATCCTCCAAAAATTATAAGATTTTTGCAAACCAACATGATTTCTACAACCCAACGTGATTTTTACAACCCGCGAATCCTGTAAAAAAGAAAAGATTTCTGCAATCCAGCATGATTTCTGCAACCCAACATGATTTCTAAACCCAACATGAATCCTGCCAAAAACAAGAATTCTGTAACCCAACAAGATTTTTTGCAACCCACAAGAATCCTGCAACCCATCATGAATCCTGCAACACATCATGAATCATGCAACCCTTCAAGAATTAAGCAAGTCATTAAGAATTCTACAACCCAACAAGAATCCTGCAACACAACTGACAGAAAGATTTAGCACTCAGAAATAAATGGTGAGTTCCTAACTCTTAACGCTCAGTTTTCACAGTTTAGCTCTCAGTGCTAATAAATATTCAATACTGTTTATGGTTAGCAATATACAACAGAAGCAATATATTTGTTTGTGTTGCATAGTAATCAATCCGATTAGGAATTATTTTTTTATAATATTACGATATATAAAGAGAAGCAGTAAAATAAAAATCAACCATAATTTTTCAGTCAGCTCACAAGCCCACAACCAAGAAGAAGCCAGCCTATTATCAGTCAATGTATTACCAACAAGAAAATGGACGTCAACCTATTATATGTCAAAACATTGTCAGCCCAAAAGCAAATAACAGAGTAGACACCATCCAACCATCCATCAACGTATTACCAGCCAGCCTCAATATGTCTAGCGTCCGTTATCAGCCGATTCACTAACCCACAGCCAACCAGCTGCCAGGCTTCTAATCTTCAACATATAGCCTGCTAGCTCTCAACAAAAATGACGCCAGCTTATAAATCATCAACGCTTTACTAGCTAGCCCACACGTCCACAATCAAGACGCCAGCCTTATACACGTCAACAAACCTGCCGCCATCTAATTAGCAGCAAACTAATTAGTCAACAGCTATTCAGTTGGTCCGCTAGCCGACAAGCATCCCGCACGACCGAGAATCAGCAGTTATCCGCAAGTCACTCACCCAACCAGTAATGAATCTGCAAACATCCACAACCCGACAGCACTTCAGTTTCTAGCCTCATTGACAATACCAACTAGCAATTAGTACAAGCAGAAGACAGCCAACCTGCAAAAAAAAACAAACAGCAACCTACCCAGAAATGGAAATCCCAAAAAAACGAATATGAACCCAATATTCTAGCGCCCAGTCATTAGCTGACAAAGATTTGTGCACACCTAATTAAAACAGTGGCCAAAAACAGAACTGTGTAGGCCTACACTTAATTAACACAGTGGCCAATGAAAGAACTGTTTACGTCTGATTAACATGTTGGCCAAAAACTTAACTGTACACATGAAAGTGACACGGTGGCCGAATACAGATCCCCAACAGACGGAGTGTTGGAATAAAAACCTGCAACCCATATTTACTGAACTGTAACAAGAAAAATTGCACACATAATTGACACAGTGGCCCAAAACCTAACTGTAAACATGTCATTGACACAGTGGCCCAAAGCATAACTGTAAACATGTCATTGACACAGTGGCCCATAGCATAACAGTACATACCTAATTGACACAGTGGCCTAAAACAGAAATGTACAGTCATGAAACAAGAAATAGTCTGCTTCACATGATCTTGATAACTCCCCTAGACCATATCTAACTCGACACTTAGATGCTACTATTTAATGTTGCTATTATAGTAAAATTCTAGCTACTACATTTTGATATTTTCTTCGCATCTAATACTAGAGTTTTCAGGAATCTATATCGCAATACAATATGTTTAAACTCTTCAGTTTGCTTACAAATAATATTTTTCTTATATTTAGCATTCTAGACTTTTAGCACAGTATGACCAATCTAACATACGTTAATTGTCAAATTTGATTAATTCTAATTATGTAACTTTTAAAGAAATTATTAATGTAACTTGGTTTATGACGATGATTAAAAAAACTAGATACGTTATAGGCCTATTTGTTTAATTTTTTAAATTATTTACCCATTGGTCATTGTTATAAACTTTGTCTTATATATATATATATATATATATATATATATATATATATATATATATATATATATATATATATATATATAATGTTATATATATATATATAATGTTATATATATATATATATAATGTTATATATATATATATATAATGTTATATATATATAATGTTATATATATATAATGTTATATATATATATATATAATGTTATATATATATAATGTTATATATATATATAATGTTATATATATATATATATATATAATGTTATATATATATATATATATATATATATATATATATATATATATATATATATATATGTTTTATATATATATATATGTTATATATATATCTTATATATTTTATATATAATGTTATATATATATCTATATATATATATATATATATATATATGTGATTGCTACTACCTTTCTGATTGTGTGATCCCTACTACCTCGCCATCTTCCCTCTTCTAATTTAATTAAGTAATCTTAACATCAATCTTTAATGATTAATTTAATATCTCACTATCGTCAGCGTTGCACGTATTTGAAAAGTTTAAAAGAAACCGGTTTGCTAGAAATGTTTCTAAACTTAAGCAATATCAACACAAACCCACACACATAATATTTTTAAACGGTTATCATGAAATTTGAAAAAAATAATCTTGCTTGTATAAGGCTTATTCTGGTAAAACATGCTAGACAATAAGTTGTTTCAAATTATTTTTTACTATCCAGCACACATAGCTTTAAAAATACAGGGCACCTTTTAAACCAGGGTTGTCATTACAGATATTTATTTATGCTTCACATTCACACAGAAAACATCCGGTCACAGGGTCCCTCTTGTAGACTTTGCAGTGGTCAATGCAGGACAATGGCGGGCAGGGGTGGGTGATGGAAGTCATTGTGGTCCCCGCGGGCAGGGTCACCTGCGACACCACAGCACTTGGGTCGTACTGGCAGACGTAACTGTGTCTTTCGTTTGTCGACACGATCACCAGAATATCGGTGGACTCGCACGGGAACTCTTTCCACTTCCCCCCGTCTCTGGTATCCATAGCAACGCAGTCCTTGTTCTCATACTGGGCAGGTTGTGCCCCGGATGCAGTCTGTCCGTTCCCGGGTGCCCAGTGGCTGTAGGTTAGGGGCGTCCCGTCTTCGCATTTAAAGGTGTTCTCACTCTCGATGTCATCGAGGCCGATCCAGATAGGCTGATGCTCTTTGTAGGTGTGCTCAAGTTGGTGGGTGAGGTACTGCTGGGTCTCGGCTGACTTGATGAACACCAGGCTCCCCCCGTTGATCTCACAGTCTGACTTGGCCGCTAGGTGGGTGAGGTACTGCTGGGTCTCGGCTGACTTGATGAACACCAGGCTCCCCCCGTTGATCTCACAGTCTGACTTGGCCGCTAGGTGGGTGCTCTGGCTGTACACGATGAACTCGTAGCACAGGTCGCCGTATATATATATATATATCTATATATATATGTATGTATATATATATATATATATATATATATATATATATATATATATATACATACATATATATATATCAAAAACGGATGAGGCAAATATATCAAGGAAATAACATTTTTTTTAACCTCAGAAAATCTTTCTTTCAATTAAAAACCTATTTTCACGACATCTACATACGTATTGTTATCGCATTAATTCTTAAAATCTTAAAAATCTTAAAATCGCAACTTTCGACCCAAAAGATGAAAATGTCAAAAAAAAAAATTCATCAATGCGAACATAACAAAAGTGGACCTCTGAACCAACTAGTTTGAAGACATGGGAGGCCCAATTAAAAAAAAAAAACTAACTATTCGGCATGTTGAAATACATCGATGGCAATGTCTAGCTCAGTGGTTCCTAACCTGGGCGCGATCGAACCCAGGAGTTCGGTGAGTCTGTTTCAGGTGTTTGGTGGAGTTCAAGACACACCACAGACTTATTTGAGTTGCGATCGGATTTTGTCAGTGCGGACGATAGCTCCAGCAATTGCGGAGCATGACTGTTCAAATACAACAGCGGTAAAACACGATATAGTAATAAATATATACCTTTTTTTTTAAAATAAATTTTTAAGAAGATAGTTTAACTTTTAATTACATTAATTATATTTTAAAAGATTGTTTTATTCTTAATTACATCAATTCTATTTAAAAACCTCCTATCAGATTTATTTAAGAGGGTCTTCTTTAACTTGGCTCTTAATTTTACTTCAGAAAAGCTATTTCCATTTAATTATCAACGATAATATAAGGCTTAATATAGTCTAGTATTACTAGTTTCAACGCCAAACTTATCAGTTCTGCACAAGATATGTTTTAGTCCTGCAAATGTATTTTATATATATATATATATATATATATATATATATATATATATATATATATATATATATATATATATATATAAATGCAGGGCGCTACCTATAAGGCGACGTGGGTCGGGCAGATGGATCGGGAAATTTGATGGTGAACGTACCCACGTTTTTTGTCATCAAATGTATGAACAGTCATCACAAGAACCTGCACAGCTCGAGGAAGCACAAAATCTACGAGCAGTCATTGGTAGATCCCCTAGGGTCTGAAGAAAAATTTATTTTCTACTTTTTAGTCCACAAGAAAAACGTAGTTTTTTAAAAAGTGTTTTTTAAGTATTTTATTTTCTCCATTTTAGTCCGTTGCTACACATGAAAAACGTGGTTTTTAAAAAGTTTTTATATAGTTTATTTTCTACTTTATCTAATGACTTGATTAAGTATGACTTGACTAAGTGTTTTTAAATACATAAAAATTTAGAGGATTTTTTAGGTACCCATCAGAGTTGGGTGGACTCAGGGAGGTCTACTGACTTAAACCCGGATTCGAACTCGAGACTAATGGGTTAGCAGTCCAACTCTCTACCACTAGACCACTCCGCCAAGGATAAAACCTCTTAATTTTGTTTTGATAAATCTGGATTGATAATTTATTTTTGCTTTAGAAATCATGTCCTCAATTTTAGGGTCCTTGGGGCGTAATTAAATTAAGCTAATTTAGGTCTCTAATTGCTAGTTTTTATGATTGCATCTGAAATTGTTAGGCGAAAATAGCCTGCATGCCGAATTTCAGATCTCTAAAGCAATCAGAAGTGGGCTAATTTTCGTTGTCAATTTTAACAACAAACCCACAAACGCGAAGCTGAGTTAAGAAAAACGTGTTAAAATACATAAAAAATCTTTATAAAATAAAGCTTTTAAATGCTATAAAAATATGAAAATAAAACTATTCTGCTTTTTGGTCAGCAAAATAAGTAGTACTAGGTGATTTTATCAGCGACCAATGGTTTTATTAAAGAAAAGGAATTAATTTTTAATTTTTATGCTCGACAGAAACTCCTTGATAATTTTTCTGGAAACTCAATTGTCTAGTAATTTGTATTTATAACTTTGCCGATAAAATGTCTTTAATAAAATAATACTTGTTCGAACCACATGACCTGGCTTTGCTTTGTTTATTTCCATTTTCAGTGAGAAAGTGGAAAAAAAAATCATAAAAAACGTTTTAATAAAAAGCTTTTATGTAATAATGCACTAAAAAGTAGAGAAAAAATGATAGACTACTATTTAATTAACTATGAAGAAAAGCGGGGGCCAATTTAGTATCTATTGGATACCTTTACTAATATTAAGAAAGCGACCTACGCTTTTCATTATAGTTATTTAAATAGTAGTGTATAATTTATTTTCTACTTTTTAGTGCATTATTACATAAAAGCTTGTTATTAAAACGGTTTTTATGAAATTTTTTTTAGTACTTTACATTTTTTAAATTTACAATAGAGTTTCATGACTAAAAACCATTGCGCGCCTATTGAACGTGATGAGGCGTGTGTAATAGTGCGGAATAGTTTGATGTGTATAATTTCGACACAATTTTAATTAATTCATAAAAAATTAATACGGCAACCAATTAAGTAAAATTTAATGTCATGTTGCATTGGGGGTCATCCATAAATGACGTCACGCTTTTTTGACGATTTTTATCTCCCCCCCCCTCCCCTCCATCACACGTCGTCACAAAAAGCCAGACCCCCCTTAAAATGACGTCACACATCAACCTACAACCCCCCTCAAAATTGCAGTTGAATTTTTTTTAAACATCGATATTTTTCTAAAATTTTGTCTAAACTATTACAATTTATTAAAACAGTTATCTAAAACGCGAAATAACGTTTAAAATTCGTTTTCTGACATTGCTTTTTTATAATGCAAAGTGTGACGTCCCAACATCTAAACGCCCCTCCCCCTCCCCCTCCTCACACATCGTCACAAAATTACGGACCCCCCCTCCCCCCTACGAGAGTGACGTCATTTATGGATGACCCCTTTTCTTCGTGTCTTGATCCACGTATCAACTACGAACCGTATCTGTCAGTTAGAAGTGCCGAAATTTTGATCGGGTGTTTCGATCTAGACTGACGACAGACAGAGGAAGTGAATTAAATAAAAGCTCGTAAATTTTTTTTTCAGAAAAAACGTTTTAATAACAAGCTTTTATGTACTAATGCACTAAAAAGTAGAAAATAAATTATAGACTACTATTTAAATAACTATAAAGAAAACCGTGATTCACTTTAGTATCTATTGGATACCTTTACTAATGTTTAGGAAGAGACCCACGCTTTTCTTTATAGTTATTTAAATAGTAGTGATAAATTATTTTCTACTTTTTAGTGCATTAGTACATAAAAGCTTGTTATTAAAACGTTTTTTATGGAATTTTTTTTAGTACTTTACATTTTTTTAATTTACAATAGAGTTTCATGACTAAAAACCATTGCGCGCCTTTTGAACGTGATGAAGGGCTATTGAAGCATTGTCTTCATGTCTTGACCCACGTGCCAACTGTGAACCGTATCGGTCAAGTAGAAGTGTCCGAATTTTCGCTCCGGCGTTTCGATCTAGACAGACAGACGACAGACTGTCGACAGACAGAGGAAGTGAAGAAGTGAAAAAACCAAATAGTCCGACAAAAACCTCACAATAACATTTTTATAACTACATTTATTTTAAAACACCGTACACTATTCATTTTTTTTTAAATAGGCTTGAAAAGCTGGTTCCATATTGTTGTTGACAAAAGCCTATAAAAATAAAATTTTAAAAATTAAAGTCTCTTAGCAACCACCGACTGCACTCATTATCATATTTTTGTATTGAGGATAATCCGTTTCAAGTCCTTCTCCAGTTAAAGTTCTGTTTCCGGTTACGGATAAAATTTAAATTCTGGTTAAGGAATAGATCTGGGTTCACGTTCATGTACAGCTTTAGGATAAGGATCAGGTTCAATTTCAGATTTAGATTAAGATTTATGTTTAGGTTTATAGTATATAAATGTAGTATATATATATATATATATATATATATATATATATATATATATATATAGGTCAGATATCTAGCGGTGGACGACACATCTTCTTTGTGAACCATTCCTTAATGTCTGGAATGACTTTAGAGTGTGATTTTAGATTCCACAGCCTCATACATATTTGACAAATCGGTACGTTTTCATAATGATAGTGCATAAAATATATTTGACCACCTCCATCTCGTATGGGGATGTCCTCATAAATGCTTACGTACTTGTCCTTCTCTTGTAAAAAACGGATGTACTCGCTGTCATGTTGGTCCAGGTAAAGCAGCTTGTCCGCGAGCTCTTTAGGGCTGGCATAATCTGCCGTGTTGATGAAAACTTCTGGAGGGGCGTGGCGTGAGTACTCATTGCTTGCACGGACCACTAGGATTGTGTTGGTGCTAATGTACCTAAAGAACTTTTCCGTTATGTAGTCCTCACACATTGAATTTTCGAAGGATAAATAAAATTTGTAGTTGGTGTCGATGTTTTGGAAACATTTATCGTCTTCAGCTCGTGGGCAAGAAAAGTTTCCGCAGAACCCATACACGTCCACAGGAATATATTTCTGTAGCTCTTCGATATATGTTTCTCGTTTTCCAATCGTTCTACAATTGCTAATAAGCACAGCAGCTTTCCTTGTCTTTTTGGCCAGGATAGATTTATAATCTCGAGTGATCGGTTTAAACCGCCTTCGTATGATTCCATACAAGGAAGTGACGTCAGAGTCCATCCGGTACGTCATGGTCCAGTTAAAGGCATCCTTCCACCCGAAGCTATCGTTCTTAATGACACTGTCGCGCCACCATTGCTCATTGGGTGGCTCGTGGTTGTTAAAAATAAACACTTGGTCTGGACGCCGTTTTGGTGGAGGTGTACGAAGAAGTTCACCTAGGGAAAAACAAAAAAAAAATTATTATAAAGAGGAGACAATTAAATTTTATATTTTCTTTTAATGATATATGAACTGTGATGTTTATAAATAGTGCTGTTTTGGATGTGTTATAATATTTGTAGTACAAAATGAACCAAGCATCAATATGAATGAATATTTCCTTCAAATCAGTGAACTTGATTTAAGTAATACACCGCTTCGCCTTGCGTTCAGCGAAAGTTGTGTTCTTGTATTTTCCATCTTAACAAAGTATTCTTTTAGTTTAGTAAGTGCGAGACTAGTATTGCTCAACTTGGAATTGCAAATCACGCAGTTTAGTCGATGACTTCCATATAGTTTCGTTATACACGTGAGTGCATAATTGTATATATTCTTCCGACCTTTTTGGTGCTTGCTCGACATAATAAGCATGAAGGGATTTAAATATTTTAATTAAAAGTCACAGGACGAACCATCTTGACATTTACAAGTTGACTAATGGGACACGATATAGACATAAACATTATGTTAAACACAACACGTATATACTTGACCAATGCATGCCTGTATAGGTGAAGTGTGTGTTGTGTTGTCAAGCGTTTCGCGACGTAGAAATATCACGATACTGATACATTTTATCTAGCTCTGGCCCACTTTATTACAATGTAGCGCCTATGCGTTGTTCCATTGTCCGTAGTGACAAAATCCGATCGCAAATTAAACAGGTTGGGTGTGTATCTCAACCTCCTCCCTGATACTAAGTTACCAAGCCAATGAGATTCTATAGAACCAAGGTTAAGAACCATTGCCATGAGCTTAAATATATCTATAAAATACGTTTTTGGTCTTCATATTCGTTTGCGTATAATTTTTGTTTACCTGCAAAGATCATAGCAGCACTCTGTTCAGCAAACGTTTTATTTGTAGTTATCACACAAGGAAAATCCGGACAAAACCTTAAGGGATTTAAGCTGTCCATCTTTGGCCAATACCGTGTTGGTATGTACCATAGAATTATTTTTTTCTTGTCAGTCACAGCTCGGGCTTCCCGCTGGTCTTCAAAAAACGTGGAGGAATTAAACGGAACAAAAGGCTCCAACTCAGGGACGTATGGACTTGGGTACGGGTCGGTTGATTTGGTTGGCACTGGCTGACGGAAGATGACGCCGTTCTCCATCCATTCCTCTACACCTTCCTTAGTGACACGCCTCTGAAGACTTGAACCTGACCGTATGACTTGTGTGATGATAGACTGACACGTCTGGTTACACGTTTCATTTTTGCCGTCCCACATTTGTTTCGCCAGTGCGTCGTTGATGGGAGTAAAGTTTGTCGATTTTGTCGCAGACACAGTTGCTTCGATCAAACTTTTCGCCGGTTTTGAATTGACAGCCGACGATACTCTGACAAAATCAATGGTTGAAGAAACTTGGTCGGTGCTCAGCTCAGCGACATTCACAGTTTGGGTGCAAGTCTTCGGAGCTTCTGAAATCAACCTTAAATCACGTTGATGTTGATGATAAATTAGGACAGTTATCAGAATACACACCATCGTTGGCAGAAAATATGACTGAGTGATCAAACCATTCTTGAAGAACTGTAAAGAAAAATGTGATAAAATATACAGACATTACAGTTTAAATAAAGCGAGACTGATCTTCCCAAAACTTTCTCAAATATTCTTTTATAACACTACGGGGATGACTACTCAGGATATAGACACGCTTTTTAAATATATTTTTTTACATGTTTAAACCTTTTAATATAGAATAGAATCTCGTAGAAAATAGAATTGCGCACCAAGTGAACAGCAAACAATATGTGCATAATAGTGTGGAATATTAGTACATTATAAATTCACTAGCCGTCGGTATCCGTTCCACTTGAGCTATAGACATATATATTTTAGTGTTATATTTGTTGGAGAAAAATAGTTTATAAAAAAGTTATTGGTCAAAACGCTTTGTGCTTTACTACACGATGAACGATATTAGTGACAAAAGCAAATAAATAACTCATTTATTTTTGAGAAATCAGAAATATCGTAAAAACTACTTCCGGTTAACGGAAATTGCTCAAAATTTGATAGAAAATTAGATCTTTTGCTTATGTCTATCTATCTATCTGTAACATTGGTCAAGTTATAGGCTTTTGAAAAACCAAAAGTAAAATAAGTTCCACTTCCGGTTATCGGAAATCGCTAAAAAGTTGATGAGGAACAACAATTTGTTATAATACTTAGATATGAAGTTTTCATCAACCTAGCTGTAGCGGTACTCAAGTTATCGTGTTCACAGACTTAAACACACACACATACATACACAAAGACATACGGAAAAAATAGCAAAAAAAACTATGTTTTTCCTACTCAGGGATCTTTGTGTTTGTGCGAATACGTGTGTGTCTTTTTGCGTGTGTGTGTGCGCGTAAGTTTGTGAGCGAGGTATATCCAAGTAGTTTTTGAACTGGACCCTGCCACCTGGTGCCCACGAATCAAGGCCATCCGTATCAGATTCGTCTTCCTCGACATAAGACGTGGATTAAGCTTTCGACAAGAAAAGCTGCTTTTTAAAAATAATATTCAAATTCGAAATTGATTTCGCCGTAATTTGAAGTTTATCTGAGGGATTCGAAGTTGAATCGCAGCTAGAAGAAAAAGTGGTACGATTTTCCAAAGGATAAATTAAAGGTAATCGGATTAAAGGGTCCGTGACGCACGCGTGGAAAGTAGATTGAAATTGTAGGTAAACTGTCAATGTAACACGTTTTTATAAGCTTTTTATTAGCTTTTATTCAGTTAACAATGTTTGTTTGTTTGTTTATTTGTTTGTGGGTTGTGGCATATCTTATTTTAACCCATCTCTACTGCAGCGATTTCATTTAAACTTTACAGATACATTAATTACCGATGACAATGCAATTATTTATATTTCTAATATTTTAGCAATTAGGTTAGCTATTTAAAAATTAATTTAAAATTACTAAATTCAATAATAAAAGGGAGATAACGAGAGTAAATACTAGCGATGGCTCAGACAGCTAACTGACGATGATGAACTGTTTGTCACGGCTGGTTGATTTCTCGCTCGAGAGTCGACCACGGGAGAAGATAGAGCAAGTCTCGTAATCGTGCAAATTTTTTTATCGTTTTACAGTTCCCTGAGTCGGAAAAACATAGTTTTGCAATCTTGTCCGTATGTGTGTGTGTGTGTGTGTGTGAAACACGATAACTTGAGTACCCTTAAAGCTAGGCTGATGAAATTTCATATATAAGTATTATATTAAAATCGTGGATCCGTATCAACTTTTGACCGATTTCCGATAAACGGAAGTGGAACTTTTTCTACTTTCAATTTTTGAAAAGACTATAACTTAAGTACAATTTCAGATAGATAAATGAAATTTCACATGTAAGTTAAAGATTTAATTCTCTACCTTCTGTCAAATTTTGAATAATTTCTGTTGACCGGAAGTAGTAATGTTTGCTATTTCCGATTTCTCAAAAAAACGTATGTAAATTTATAAAGTACTAATAATATTCCACACTATTATACACATTTTGTTTTGTGTTCACTTGGTGTGCAATTCTTTTTTCTACGTGATTCTATTCTATTTTAAAAAGTTTAAGTAATTAAAAATGGATTAAAAAGCATGTCTAGATCCCAAGTCGCCATCGCCAGTTGTTTTACATAAGAATATTCGAGAAAGTTTAGGGGAGATCACTCCGGTTTATTACTTTGCTGTATACGAAATATAGAAAAAGTATTGTACCGTGCACACAATAAAGAATAAAATGAGACTCAAGACAAATCTTGATGTTTTAGACCTCCTGCGTTGAAAAACTTGGTTTTGCAATTTTTTCCTATATGTTTGTGTGTCTATGTGTGTGTCTGTAAACACGATAACTTTAGTACCGTACAGATAGGTTGACAAAGTTTAATATTTATCAATTTGTAGTTCTATATCAACTATTCAGCGATTTTCAGTAACCAAAAGTGGCACTTATTATACTTTCGATTTCTAGAGAGCGTATAACTTGAGTACTGTTTCAGTACGGTAGACGAAATTTCACGTAGATCTATAAGTAAAAGATTTAATTTTCTAGTCAAGTATTTGACAAATTTTTAGTGAGTTCATGTGAAGGTAAGTAGTACTTTACGCTGTTTCAGATTTCTTAAGGAAATGCACAATAATTTATTTTTAACATGATTTCTTTGTCTATCGTCCTCCATGGTCGTAAACTTGAGAGCAAAATTTGTTTTATCGGACAAAATTTTCAAAAATATCAAAATTTTCACGTAGGTCAAAACTCCAAGATAATGTACCGTTACATTAAACTACTCAATTAGATTCTTTAATGGGGGTCGGCGTAGTCGAGTCGATAAAGCTCATGGTTGCTAAACCGAAAAGCCTCGAGTTTCTAGGAGAGACAACTCCAAAATCAAACAACTGCTGCCTTGTAGTTTGTTCTTGGTTGGACAAAGACTATGGAAGCAAATCCAAAAAGAAAAGCAGGCTGAAATCGGAGTCAATGGCCTCAATGGCGTGGTCGAGTCGGCAAAAGCTCATCGTTGATAAATTAGAAAAAAAAAGCCTCGAGTTCAAACCCCCTTGCAGATAAGGCTCGATCCCTTCCAACTTTTAAAATTAAGAACGAAGAAGAAGAAGAAGATTAAAAAAAAAACACTTTGAAAATTAATCAAGGTTTTTCTTTATCAAGTACTATGTTCCGCAATATTATAGGCCTACACTTATTGTTTGCGGTTCTATTTATTTAAAAAATCGAATTAATAATTAAAACTTGGGTAATCTCCACTAATCTTTCTCGAATATTAACATTTGCGTGGGATGGCAACTCCAGTTTAATCGGAATATAGACCTGTTTTTACAACCTTTCATTGAACTTGTTTTCCCGTCTGTCTATTTGTCTTTCTATCTCTTTGTCGTCATAGATCGAAACTGCCGAGCAAAATTTAAATTATTTCTAACTGACCGCTTCATTTTAAACTTAGCACGTGGGTATAGACCCTCCGATAACGCAATCTGACCAGTAGCGTAGCAAGGGGGGGGACGGGACATATGTCCCCGGGCGCCGACCTTAGGGGGCGCCAAAATGGGTTGGAAAAATAAATTGAAAGGTTGAGGTGGGTGCAAATCGAAATCTCGAGGGGGGGTGCAAATCGAAAGTTTGAGGGGGGGGGTTGCAAATGGAAATCTCGAGGGGGGGGGGGGGGGGGTGCAAATCGAAAAGTTTGTCCCCGGGCGCCGGGAAGGGTCGCTACGCCTCTGAATCTGACATCAAAAGGGTAGGGAAAATGTTTATAATAGCAAGTTTAGTGTCTACGTCAACTTACACGGCAAACAACATCAGACGCGGGACAATTTTGCAGTAACGTAGAGTAATGTCTTCAACTGCCACGCGTACCAAACCACGCAAAGGATTATCTTTAAATAACAATAACGCCGTAACAGCAAGCACTTCTATATAATAATTGTAACAAGCATGTAGACTACTTTGTAATTTCCAAAGGTTCTAGACTACGCGACAAAACAATGCACGCAGTTTACAATCTTTAAAGGGATGAGAATAACTAGGCCCGATGATCACTTTATTTTTGTACGGGTATACGGCCGATTGATAAAAGTCACTCTTGAATTAGATTAATTTGAAAACAGAAAGCAGGTGATTAAAAAGCAACAGTCGATTATGATTGAAACAAAAACAAACAAACAACAAAACAACAAAAACAAGCAACAACTAGAACAACAAAAACAGTATTGCTAAACACTAAAGAATACTTGCCAAAACCTATTATAAAATATATATCGTGTCTGAAAAAAAATTAACTAATAATTTACCTTGAGGCGCCGTGACATTTTGGTTTATGTTGTGTAGGCGCTTACCACGGTATTGAATGAGAAATGAGTAGCTTTCGTGTACTGAAAAAAGGGGAATTCAAAAGAGAGACCGCATTTTTGTGGACAAAAATTGCCCCATTTTAAATTTTAAAAGTAAGGCATACCAAACAATCCTAACAATCGTTATATGCTTTGTTTCTGTAACAAGATAAATTATTATCAAAACCATAACAATAATTTAAATAAATTAGCACAGTCTTGAAATGTGCTTACGTAGAGATTAAAGCAGTGGTTCTTAACCTTTTGGATGTGCCGAAACCAACCAGTTTGATTTGCGCATTCACCGAACCTTTCTTAATAGGAATTTTTTTTTTCAAATTCACAACATAGGTAGGCCTAATTATTTTACATATTCACAAAATGATTATCGCATCAACATCACTGTGTTTAAAGAAAAAAAAAAACATTAAAAATATTTTTCACAGAAGAACAAAAACATAATAATAAATGTTTTCTGTAAATAAATGTGGCTTTTGCTGTTGCTTTTCAGACACCAGTTTAGAAATTTTTTGCTTCACCTTTAATTCAGTGAGCATTGTGTTCTCTCATTTTCCATCTCATTGCATCTTAAGGAAATATTATCTTTGTTATGCCGGTGCTAGGCTAGAATTGCTCAACTTGGCATTGCAAATTATGCAGTTAGGACGCTTACCTCCATTAAGTTGCTTTAAACAGCTGAATCCATACTCGCCAGAACACTTTTGCTTTTTTTTTCTTTTTGCTCGACACATAAAGGGATTGAAATAAAAAACTCAAACAAGTTATAACTGGTCATCTCGATTCTAGTTTCACTTCTCCTTTAAGAGTATGTTTTTCTTTTACCCTGATGATACTGTGAGAGATTATCTCGACTTGGCTATCATCCGTTCTCTCTATCCATAGCCTTTTTATTAAAATGATTTTAATAATGTTCATCTAAGCTTTATTTCAAACTGAATCCCTTATCTATTTATGGTCGCTTCTTCTCCCCGTCATTGTAAGTTCTAATAGGTCTAAAAATAAATTGAACTTTAAAAAGAATTAAAATATATCATATTTTAAGAATACGTTATTAAAGTTGCAAATGTAGAACATTTTTTAAAGGCTACATTTTGTTTTCATCAAGCCTAAATTTTAACCTGAAGTTTGACTTAAGTGAAGCAAGTTTTGATTGCCTGATTGTATAGAAAAGTGGTAATCAATTTCCCGAAAACCCAACTCAGCAGCAATTTGCACTTAAAAACTTTACGGTATTTTGTTTAATAAATTTTTCTTTAAAACCACAAGACCCAGTTATGCCTTGTTTTTTTTTAACTTTTCGGTAAAAAATAAAATGAATGAAACCAAATAATATTTTGATTTGAAAATAAAAATTCCTTCTTTAATTACAGAAAATACTACAAACATCAAATACTTCCGATTTTAAGTTAAGTCAGACAAAAACCACATTTATTTTAATAACACTGCACACGTTTTTTTCAAATAATTAATGGACAATTCAAGACTACTCTCGTTGGAGTCCAATAAGATTATAGGCTTTAAAAGAAATTGAAAGAAGTGACAGAATAGTAATGATATTAGGTCAAGGATTAGGGTTAGTGTTAGCATTTGTATTACGAATATACGGATAAATGACTTGAGTATATGTACATAAGACAGTGATAACGCAGACTGTTATAACATTCTTCTCCAGCAACCGCGATACTACACTACAACTTCACATCATTGTTTATCGCGTAATAAGGAAACCATCTTTTATTTCATAGAAATCCTTCATCAAAACTATTCTGGAAACCTTACCCTATATATATATATATATATATATATATATATATATATATATATATATATATATATATAATTATATATATATGAATAAAGTCAGATATCTAGCGGTGGATGACACATCTTTTTTGTGAACCATTCCTTAATGTCTAGAATGACTTTAGAGTGTGATTTTAGATTCCACAGCCTCATACATATTTGACAAATCGGCACATTTTCGTAATGATAGTGCATAAAATATATTTGACCACCTCCATCTCGTATGGGGATGTCCTCATAAATGCTTACGTACTTGTCCTTCTCTTGTAAAAAACGGATGTACTCGCTGTCATGTTGGTCCAGGTAAAGCAGCTTGTCCGCGAGCTCTTTAGGGCTGGCATAATCTGCCGTGTTGATGAAAACTTCTGGAGGGGCGTGGCGTGAGTACTCATTGCTTGCACGGACTACTTGGATTGTATTGGTGCTTAAGTATCTAAAGAACTTTTCCGTTATATAGTCCTCACACATTGAACTCTCGAAGGATAAATAAAATTTGTAGTTGGTGTCGATGTTTTGGAAACATTTATCGTCTTCAGCTCGTGGGCAAGAAAAGTTTCCACATCTGCCGTACACGTCAACAGGAATATATTTCTGTAGCTCTGCAATATATTTGTCTCTTTTCCCTGTCGTTCTACAATTGCTTACAAGCACAGCAGCTTTCTTTGTCTTTTTGGCCAGGATAGATTTATAATCTCGAGTGATTGGTTTAAACCGCCTTCGTATGATTCCATACAAGGAAGTGACGTCAGAGTCCATCCGGTACGTCATGGTCCAGTTAAAGGCATCCTTCCACCCGAAGCTATCGTTACTTATGACACTATCGCGCCACCATTGCTCATTGGGTGGCTCGTGGTTGTTAAAAATAAATACCTGGTCTGGACGCCGTTTTGGTGGCGGTGTACGAAGAAGTTGACCTAGTGAAAATAAACAATGGATATGCTGTAAACAGGAGACTATTAACATTCTAAAACGGGATAGCTTTTTGTATGATATATTCATTGTGAAGTTAAATATATTAATGGATATTGTTTTTGCAGTATTATAATATATGTCGAAGTACCATGTCACGACATATAAATGAATGGGAAATAAATGTTAAAGACAGGCCTAGGGCGCCAAACTGCACCATGCTTGGACGCCGGCGGAACCGTCTGTTTCAGCTTAGTAAAAGACTATATTATACCCCGATTTATTCATAGTCTTTTGTACTCACTTAAACGAACTTAGGAGTCATAGCGAACACGGGAAAGCCCGGGGCGTCAAATAGCACCCTGTCGCGGCGCCGGAGGACGCGCGGATTGGATTCACTTAAAGACTATAGCAACCTCTCCTATCCATAGTCTATCGCACTGTTTAAAACGAAATTATGCACCATAGTGCTCATATAACAGCCCAGAGCGCCAAATCGAATCCTGACGGGGCGCAGGCGGACGCGCCTGTTTCAATTTAGTGAACAATTACAATATCCCAAGCTTATCCGCAAACGGAAAAACGTCAAAGAGGACATTTAGGAGCTGGCTTCTTAACTGTTATTGATTTAAAAAAAATAATTGCGGTGCAAAGCAGCGTCATGTGATGGAAACTTTGAAGCTATAAAACTTAAACATAGCTCTTAAAATAGTTTCTTTGATGTTGTTTTTACAATCGAGAAGGTAGTAAAACTTTACACTGTTAAATGTACTGTTACAACGTCTGCTTAAAAAAAGGTACGCACTATAGTAAGGTAAAACAAGTTAATAAAAAGTCTAGTGACAATTTAAGCGCCATTTCCTTATGTTATCCATAACTTTTAAAAATTTTTTGTGACCGAACAAAAGGATATTTATGAAAACTTTCTTCGGCAATATTGTTCTAAATTATGGCAGGAATCGATTGGTAAATGTTTCAAGTCGCTAAGTGGCCTGGTTGCCGAGATATGGGCAAAAACTGCATTTTTCGAGGTATTTTGGCTTTTCCGGGAAATCCAGAAAGGCTTTCTGGGAATTTTTTTGGCCCACAATCATCCTCGGAACTTGCTTAACATATTTGCTTTTGAAACTAGTCCTCGATATTGCTTCATTGAGGAGGAGATACGACTTAAAGCTGCGGACACACATCCATCCATCCATCCATCCATCCATCCAGAAATAACGAATTAATAATCGCAATTGTCAGTATGGAAATTGCGCTAAAAAAAGACGATCGACGTTTATCATGTTTAGTGCGACAGACAAAAACGAATTCCCCTTCGTGCGCAAAAAAAAGACTGATAATAATCTGCGGGAAATTCCCGTTCCCAATCAAAAATGTCTAGTTACTTCAGCTGTCTTTGATTAAAAAATAATAATAAAAAACAGTATGCCCTGCGTTCAGTGTATACAATAAAAAAGAGGCAGTATTTAAAATACCTACCACATTTCACTTGATCAATCCACGGTAATTATGTAATTTTTTCCCACACCAAAACAAAATAATAATAAGTACATTTTTTCCTCCCGATGTAATGGGTTTGTATAAAGGGAAGTAATTGTGTTTTCCTAATTTGTCAAGGGACGCAAAGAGTGCTAAAGAACTAAATGTAAATAATTAGAAATTTTGTGAAAGGTGAAACATTTTAAAAAAATTGTTTAATGGACATGCCAACAATTAATACCCGTAAGTTTGAAAAATGAAAGTTGTTTTACAACACCTTTATATTAATTTTTTAAATTATGAATTTAGACGATGAGCAATTTAGACTTTGGAATCACGGTTTGCACACCCGCCACAGAATTGAACTTTATATATTAAATTGCAATTTTTAGTTTACCTGCAAAGATCATAGCAGCACTTTGTTCAGCAAATGTTTTATTTGTAGTTATCACACAAGGAAAATCTGGACAAAACCTTAAGGGGTTTAAGCTGTCCATCTTTGGCCAATACCGTGTTGGTTTGTACCATAGAATTATTTTTTTCTTGTCAATCACAGCTCGGGCTTCCCGCTGGTCTTCAAAAAACGTGGATGAATTAAACGGAACAAAAGGCTCCAACTCAGGGACGTATGGACTTGGGTACGGGTCGGTTGATTTGGTTGGCACTGGCTGACGGAAGATGACGCCGTTCTCCATCCATTCCTCTACACCTTCCTTAGTGACACGCCTCTGAAGACTTGAACCTGACCGTATGACTTGCGTGACGATGGACTGACACGTCTGATTACACGTTTCCGTTTTATCGT